GAATTAGCAATAAGTGTTTTACATATAAAATGTAAGGAAATACAAAAAATATGTCTCACAAACTAAATGTAGAAGCAAAAACAATAATCAATACATTAAATGTATATTAAATTGATACTTAAAAACATAATCAGCTGTCTCATTCAATATTTATAAAAATGATACACTATGTATGATCAAATCCTTTCAGGGCAGATAATAGTAAAGGTGTGTGAAGTAAAGTACTGACTATAATATTTGCCTCATTCAAATATTGGATAAATTAAGACATATTTAATACACTATGCTATAATAGTTGTTTCATTAAAATATTGGTTTTACTTGATGAGGCAATTACATGTTAAGTCATGTTGGAACATTCTATGACGAGTCCAGTATCCTGTTGATATATCCATTTATAGAAATACCATCTGCTCTAGCAGCACTATCCTTAGTAAGATCATCTGCCTATAGAACCTTAGTAACTCAATCCGTCTAGTAACCCCAACTGCCTTTGTAAAACACACAAAATATGCATATTAACATCATCTGCCTATAATAACACAGTCAACCTATCGAAACACTATCAGCCTTTGTAAAACATATGTAATATGTAAGTGAAACTATAAAGTAACTGTCAACATGTGTAAAATGAAATATTTTGTGAAGAACTCATTTACTTTTATACACACTAAAGATTATAGTTATATGGGTAGAGAAGTTGCATAACAATATATTTAATCTATAAAGCAAAGCTAGTGAAACAGTGAGACTGTTTTGTAAAAAGTATGCTATGCAAATAAGGTAAAATAGTATTGATTAATTGATCATCCTATGAACTCTGGTAACATTGTCCTTAGAAGCATCAACCACCTATAGAAACACTACCCTTAGTAACACAATCCACCTCTAGAAACATTGCTCTTAGTAAAACTGTCCCCCTACAGAACCTTAGTTGCATCTGCCTATAGTAATACTGTCCACCTACAGAACATAAGTTTCACCATCCGCTGATAGTAACAGGTCCTTTGGTATCAAACTATTATGTCACCCCCTCCTATAACAACATGACCTTTGGAACAGACTCATAACCACACGCTATCTATTGAGGAACATTCAAACTATGATGCATGACAACTTCTACCTATCATGTATCATGGCAGCCTAGCAATGGACCCTCTGGTTCCACTTTGTGGAACTATGACATCATCATTTCTACTCCACCCTCTGAGGCAACCACTGAGCTCACGGTGTCTAGGGTATCCCACTAACTACATGCATTTACAGTATTTTTCAACAACCATTATATAGAAGTTTTTTCCAGAAAATGACAAGTCATTAACCTTGGAGGTTGTGGTTGTGTATTCCATTGTCCAAAACTATGCTGTACTTGTGCATGAAAGTCCAGAAAAAATATGATGTATAAAAAAGAGGTGCTTTATGGAAACTACAATTTTCCCTAAATGCCATTTTCACTAACAATGTGAATAAACTAATAAAAATGACTTAATCATGGTTAAAAACCCATAAGGGACAAAACAAACCGTGCTCTTCACCTATGGGAAGTCCAAAGCTTATAATGCTAATAACCAGGTTTTAATACCCTTGGTAGGCAGAGTACAGATAGCCCATTCTGTAGCTTTGTGCTTATCCCAAACAAACAAGGCCAATAATGCTAAAAACAAACAAACAAAAGTGCTTACCCCACTCCACTCTGAAAGAATCCATTCTACACCTTCACATGGGCCGAGATTACAAGACTGACTTGTGATAGGTCGACTATCGGGATCACACATGGAATCCAATACCTCTTCTTTGTTTCTTCGACATGTTACTAGCCTTGTCTGGTTACCATTTCCACAGATTCTGTTACACTGTAACACAATTTTATAACAAAAACAAAAGAAAACTATTTATTTATCCCAATTTTTTTATATCTTTATCTGTATACATTCTTAACCAGCATATAAGAGTTTAATCAATAACACTCTAAAAATTTGAAATTTAAGTAAAGAATATCAATATTTTACACATTTAATTAGAGCTTGTTCTTCTTATTTTCTATAGGAAATCACGAAAAGATAATTTCTTTCGCTGAATTTTTTCTTTTGTATATAAAATTGTTATGAAACTATTGATGAATCTACAATTATTTGGTTTTACTAAAATGTTGTAAAAATTGAACAATCAAAGTGTGGTTGGCTTGCTCTGTAGTAGTAGTAGAAACGAGGATAACTATGATAAACTACACAACAAAGTTCTTCACATAAACATAATCACATAACAACTATGGAAAATGAAACAAATAGATGAATGAATGCCCACCAGACCAGTAAGCCTTCAAGAGTGTGCTCAATGTTGTTTTATGTGCTAAACAGGTTTCAACTGTGTGGCTGGACAAACCAACAGATCTGTGTGTGTGCTAGGACATACTGCTCTCTGTGTTAAATAGGTTTCAGCTGTGTGGAACTCATGATCTGTGGCTGGGCAAATCAAAAGATTAGTGTGTGCTCTGTCAGAAAAATAGTTTTTATTCATTGCTTATTTCTTTCATGTAGTGTGAACCCTAACTTTCCTAAAACTTACTATTTATTTAAGATAATTTCCATACCTGTTTGTATAAATTGATTAGCTTAACATATCTTTTTCAATCAGTCTCCAGGTGTCAATTTTATTTTACTTAAGCATTTAAGTACAGTTTTATATGTATATATTAAGCCAATTCCAAACCAAGATATCCCTAATATCTTTTTACATAATGCTCTCATTGCCAGCTATACTGTACTGGAAATGAGACACTTACAACAGTACATGAAAATATATGCTAAATATTTCCTGGAAAAACCAGATGACCTTCATGACATCACTCAACTCCCTATATATATCACTCAATCGATTACACCACCATTCACAATTTGCTCCTGAAGAAGAAAGGTCCACCTTTCAAAAGCACTCATGTTATAGGGTTCTTATCATCATGTACCAAGATCTGCATTTGTGATAGGACAAGCTGCTTTCTGTGCTAAACACACACAGATGTACTAAACTGTCAGACTGTTTTATGATTATAATTTTGTAAGTTTTCTAACAACTGATATAATTATGTCTTTTTGTGTGTAATAATGGTGGTTTTATGTATTCATTCAGTGTAGTCTAATGGTTACTGCATGGTACTGGTTGTGGGTTTGTGACTTGCGAGTGTCACATTTTTGTGTTATTGTACAAAACACTAACCCAATTGTTTCAGTCTATCTAGCTGTATAATGTGTAGCTGTGGGTTAACCTGTGATGGACTGGCATCCCATCCAGGGGAAGTATGTTACCATTCTCATCCATCTGTGCCACAGGAAACCAGCCTTACGTGCCTTTCAGGCACAAAAGGGACTAACATACTATTCTTATGAGTCAATGACCATTATGTAGTACTTATGCAATCATCAAGTAGATGTGTTTTCTATAATGTTTGTATAAACACTTATAGGTATGCAGTAAGAACTAGTTTAGCATTTCATTATGTTAGTTTTGGATGCTTCACTTTCTAGACCCCTAACAATGCACATGTTGTTAATTGTACACTCAGTGAACAGATTGTGAAATTACACCCATGACAATAAATTACAAGAAGACTTAGGACACCATGATTTTTTGTCTATATGAATATATCTACAACTTTGTTAATATATGAATTCCATGCACATTCAGATACAGTGTACAAATGATTATATGTACTTAATATTGATAGTGTTTTTAAGTCCTTTTAACTCACCATTTAGTAACCTAAATTATTTTAGGCATATGAATGATGGGCCTGGAATGGCCTAATCGTTATAGCACTTGACTCACAATCTGCAGGTTGTAGGTTTGAAGCCCTCATAAATGAACATACTTGCCCTTTCAACCATGGGGTAGTTATAATATGATGGTCAATCCAATTATCCATTGAGAAAATAATAACCCAGTGGTTGGCAGTGGGTGGTATTACTAGTTGCATTTCCTCTAGTCTTTCACTGCTAAATTATGGATGCTTACATGGAGAGGAGATGGGCACCCACCAGTATATCTGTCCAAGAATCAATAATGCATCGGCATCTAAGGTACCCCCAACAGTCATAAGAAGCCTTGGGTCTGAATAAATATGTGAATAATACTATGACATTCCACCAAAATTATCATTATTTGATATCATGTAGTGGACCAACTGTTTGATGATGATATTCTAGATATTTCTTTTCATCTAAGGTAAAAATTACAATATAATCTGTGACATACAGGCTTGATATATTCTCTGATCTGTTCTGCATTCGAGGTGCTGAATCCTGAAGAGTAAATGTAATCTGGGAAATGTGGCATTGGGTGGTGTGGTCAACATGATCAGGATCATCAGAAAGCAGTGACATAATGTGCAAGTCCAACAGATGTTCTAGGGGAGATAGGAGGTGCAAAGTATGTTGGACTGGATGATCAAGCATATCAGTAAAGATAACATTCTTAATATAGATACATCATAGAAAAGGTAACAAAATATCTGCAAAAAGGTAATACGGTCATAACAAACTTTTGTAGGACTAGGTAACCAGATGTAAAATGGCAATCTAAGAACAAGACACTTCAAAATCTGTAAATGAAGATAAAAGGATAAGAGGCATAAATCCATGCAGTTTGACCACAAGTGAAACAAGGTTAAATGAAAACCTTATGTGCATGAGAAATAAAGGAAGGTTTAAATGCCAGGAGATACCAGACAAGCAATGAAGAAGCTTATGTCAAGAGGTGATTTTATTATTCAAAAGATACAATATGTGCTTTTCAAGTAAGATGCTTGTCAAAAGTGACTCTAAGATGTTTCATGATGCCTGAGAGTTGGAGCACAACATGCTCAACTTGAATATTAAATAAATATAGGTTACAACACTGATAAAATTTGTGTTGCATAAGGCCAAACAGAACAGCTGTGGTTTTATTAATGTTAATAAAACAGTGCCACCAGTGACTCCATATCACACACTTACAGACAGCAGTTTGTAAGATCCTCTTAAGGGTAGCTATTGTCAGGAGAACAGTATCACCAGCATACTGAAAGAGAGAAATTGGAAGAGAGATAAGTGGCATGTCAGAAATATCCAGCACATAGAGTAGTGGTGATCAAACTGAATCTTGGGGAACTCTAGCACCAATGTAAAAAAAAAAATTTGAAGTGAGTGCCTTCTATAGAGATTGTGGTGGAATGATCCAAAAGAAAAGGGTGAATAAGACTGGTACATGTCAGTGGTAATTGCAAATGTCTGAGTTTATAAATTAATCCTTGAGAGCAGACAGAGTAAAAAGCACTTGCAAAGTCAGAAAAAAAGAAAAGAAAATGGTCTAGAAGTGTTAAAATGGTTAGTAATTGCATCAGACAACTTTAGGAAATAGTCCACTATGTAAAGATGGAAATGGAAATCTGATTATTGAAGAGAATGTTACATTGAGTTATATGAACATGTAGTCTGTAAACAACAATTCTTTCAAGAAAGTTGTTAAGAATACTAGTAAAACTGATGGAATGATAACATTCAATGTTCATTGGAGACTTAGATGGTTTAAAGAAGTAGAATAGTGGATTTCTTCCAAGAACTGGGTAAAAGCAAGTGCAAAGAAGGAAGTTGTATAACATGACTAGTAGGAGCAGAAAACATAGTAGGGTTTATTAGAGATGAGAATAAGTTAAACCATCTGGACCAATAGCTGTGTCGCACTTCCCTTTAAGAGCTAAAAGAATATCCTAAGTTTAGCAGACATTTGACAACAGTATAATCTAGATTCAAAGTGTACTAAATAATTTTTTATTGTTATTTCATACCAGCTCGGGGGGCAGGGGGTGGTAGCAAGCCAACAGAGGGTTACACCCTCTCTTTTGTCAATAAATGAACAAAAGTACAGAGCTAGAAGGTTAGGGACGATGGTTAAGAGATCCAGACGAAAATGACATGGCTGTGAAGGATGTAAAAATATCAGAAAGATGGGTAAGATATCAGTAAAGAGTGGGAACTTATATTAAGAAAAATGTGTGGATGAGAGATAGAAGCATTCAGGAGATCAATCCCTGAGACCTCTGGATAATTATAACCTGGTAGTTTTATTTGTGGTGAGGTGTTATATGTGGAATCATATGGTGGAAATGACATGTCCTACAGGTTCAATAAATGATCAATGAGGGGTAAGGCTTTGTGAGGCATTCTCACTGGCATGGATGGCAGATCAGCAAGTATGACATTTTGATTCAGAAAACAGCAGCGAATATACTGGGTTCAAAGGTCACAGAGATAGTAAAGAATTGGCAGAATGGAGATACAGTTGAAGAGTTCCAGTTTAGGATTAGTTAGTTTGACACCTAAAGTGAAGAGAAGATCATTTATGACATTGTAGTACCCCAAAATGATGATAAAAGGTAAAAGAAGCAGAAAACCAAGCAGTGTGACTATATATAAAATATGAATGTCTTGTGTATGTACAATAGGAGGAGAAGATTCAAAACCTGCATAGTAGATGGAAACAGAAGATGACTTTCTAGTTAATAGTCATTATCTGAGCCTTCCATATAAGATGTTTGTCAAAAAGAATACCTAAATATTTAACAGTATTAGAAAGCTTAATTTAGAAACCCTTAACTTGGACATTAAACAAGAGTGGATTGTGACAAGAACGGAATTTATACTATGTAGAACATGTATGACTGGTTTTGGTGGCATTGATGGAGAGACATCAGCGATGGCGCCAAGCTAAAAGGGTATTAACAGTAGATTGTAAAACTCAACTGAGGGTGCTAAGGAAATACAATGAAGCTTCTTAAAATGGTGGTGTTTATGTCATAGTTGTAATGTACTTAAGCCCTTTTAACTCACAATTTAGTAACCCAAATTATTTGAAGTATGTGAATAATACTATTGGATTCAACCAAAATTACTAACAGTATAATACAGTGAGCCAACTGTTTAGTGATGAAATTACAAATTTATTTTCGTAAAATCATAAATATTAAATACATGCCACCATTATACAAGGTTTATTGTATTTCTTTGGTTGAACCTTGATTAGGTGAAACTACTGTCTATAGCAAAGGATGAGGCGAATCAAAGAATATATTAAGCCTTTATGTCTTTATAGTCCAGTCATTCTCTATCTGATGACTGTGCATTCTGACACTAGCCCTGCAGCACGGTTTCTGTAGCAAAGGGCTCCAGTATATGGTTGTCACATCCAAAGCACCTCCATCCTCCCTACTGGTTTCCATAATCTATCTAGTTTAGGAAAATGTTTTATGAGCACCTGTTCCAACAGTTGAATCATACAGAGATCCATAGATCCAATGATTTGACTAGAATGTCTTCATATGGAATAGAATGAAAATACCTTTTTAATGCTAAAGCTGCTTGATGTATGCAATGGTTAAACAAATATGTCATGGAAGCAACATGTGTACATGTGATTTGTGCTGCTTTTCCAGACTGAAACACTTCTTGATCATGTTGCATAGTATTCACTGGTGCACGTGAACAGCTGTTACCACTGGCCTTTGTGTTCATGGATTCTCATCTTTTACAAAAATCTACACTTTGTTTACGATATCTAGGTAATAGCTTATTGCACATTTTTTGTGGATGGTCGTGGTACCCAAGTTGAAATACATTCCTTTATCTTCCAGTGTCATTAAGCACAAGCGCTATCCCAAAAGCAATCAGTATTCGGTGACATCACACTACCTACAAATTTCAGATATTGTCATTAAGTACAAGGGATATCCCCATCATGAAAAATTTAAGACCCTGATCTGTACACGTCTTTATAATTTACGTGTATGAATATTTTGCATTGGAAAGGGCTGTTACATACCTTTCCCAAAGCAATCAATATTTGGTGACATCACACTACCTACAAATGTAAAACAATGTCATAAAGTAACTGTGATACATGACATTCCACCAGGATTTTAGATTATCTAACTGTTATGTGACTTTGTATATCTAAAATCATTTTAAAGTAACATAATCAATTCTCTGTATTCTGATATGGGATGTCTTTTTGATAGTAAACTACAGGTAAGTCTAAACACAGGTTCTCATGTATACACAAAATTATTCTAAAATTTACAATATGTTCAAGTTAGAGTTATAAATTTTAGGCAAGTTTTTCTGTTAATTCTTCAAACTTATATGCTCTTTTCCACACATCGAATGATCAGTCATTTTCATACAGGAAATATTAACCATTCAGGCAGTATCCTTTCCTTGTAGAACAATTTCTTCCAACAATCTTAGAATAGACCTATTGTTGTTTAACCATTCTGGCAGTATCCTTTCCTTGAAGAACAATTTCTTTCAACAATCTTAGAACAGACCTATTGTTGATTAACCATTCTGGCAGTATCCTTTCTTTGTAGAACAATTTCTTCCAACAGTCTTAGAACAGACCTATTTCTGAATTTTATAAAACATTTAACCTTTCAGTTTTGTTAAGTTTTAACTGTTTTGAAACTTGCAAAGTTATTAGATGAGGTTGGCAAAACTTTATTGTTCATTCATTGCACTTAACTCGCTTGAAACAAGTGCTAGTGAAATTTTACTATTCATTACTCTTGCTACTCACTTGAAACAAGTGTTGATGAAACTTCACTAATCCTTTATCGAGTTTAAGTCACTTAAAACAAGTGTTGGTGAAACTTAACCATTCATTCATTGAATTTAAACCACTTGAAATAAATACTGAGGAAAGTTTACTGTTCATTCATTAAGCTTAACTCACTTGAAGCGAGTGTTGTTGAAACTTTACTGTAAATTTATCTTGCTAATCACTTGAAATAAGTGTTGGTGAAAACGTGTGAAAAAAAAGTGTCGTTATGAAAACATGTTGATCAAGCCGATACATTTGAAATTTAACATTACCAAGTAGTTAATGTGTAATTATGTTGTGATAATATTTATGGGCTGAGTATTGTTTTTATCATAGTTACAAAATGATATATGGACATGATAGAGAAAGACATAGCCAAGCAGACTGTTAAAATATACCAACAATGGCTAGCATTATTGTGGAATTTTATCCTTAGTGGATTTAAGCTTACAAGTGTACTACAAGTAAAAATATATGTGTATGAATGAAGAAGACTTGCTATTATATTTTACTCTTTGTGTTCTTATGACATCATTAGAGTGACTTGAAGGTGAATTGAAAACATTGATGTGTAAGCATAGAACTGTGAGCACATTACACTTATGAATTTCTTTGATGTTCAGTATCAATACTTGTACCCTACTTTTACGTTATTCTTCTTACATCCCCTAAAAATTGGGTTTTGATATCCGTGGTATTCACAGCACAGACAGCCTATTGTGTAGATTTGTGCTTAATCAACCAACTAGACAAACGAGATCCATATATCCATATTACAGATGTTGTGCAGTAAAGTCACCTAACCATGTTATAACTATTCTGTCTATATTAATAATATGACAGGTAACACCATACTTAATACACTACTTACAGCAGTCCAAGGTCCAACATGCCATACTGGGCACTTTCGTCCAGTTGTACACTGTTGAATAAAACTAGGTTTAGAACCATCTTCACGTTCACACTGTTTGTCATAAGCAACAACAACACCATTCTCTGTAAGTTGATGACAGTAAACAAGGCGAAACTGAACACCACTTCCACATAGTCTTGAACAATTCCCCCATTCACCAGTAAACCATCTGTAAATATGACATTATTTGATCAGTTATGAGGCTTATACCTATAGACTTCTTTTTTTAAATCATTTTTAATTTATAAAGTCGCTGTTTTGGTCATGAAGTTTTTTGATTTGTATTTCTGTAACTGTCATTTTACAAAATAACCATTCTATCGCCTTGCTCACAGCCAGTAAAGAAAACATCACGACATAAGGATTTATCAAGTGCAATCAAAGAGATCTTAATACACAAATAATATTTAAACAAATATTAGAAAATTATGAATTCATTATAAAACTACCTATCAATTATATTTCACTGATTGCAAAGAATATTCTGTTACGTCTCCGTTCGTTAGTTGATTTTCCGTAACTTCGTTTCCACGAACTTTAGCGACACAAGTCCTTTCTTAATAAAACTGGTTTATTTTTTTCTAAATATTACTTTACCAATACACTTATTTTCAACAGTCGCTCTATAACAAACGCTATAACAACGAACGTTAACTTCAACAATACTTTCTAACTGCAGTTCAATTACTCACTACCTATACACATTATCCC